TTTTTTTTTTTTTTTTGTGCAGATGGGTATCGTAATCGCTACTGTTTGAGCTACGTGATAATTAAGATTGCAAACTGAAAGGAAATTAATACTTTACTTCTTTTTTCTACCTTCTCAAAAATAATATCGTTTTTTTGTAGGTTGTTAGTAAACTGTTTTACAAACTGGTTCACTTTCTTAGCATAATTATCTATTTCTTTTTTATTTGCAGTAAGAAATGGTGATTGAATTTTGTAGATGACGACTTTGGAGGCTCAAACTCGTAACGCGGTTGAAGAGGTACATGGTCAGGTATTTGAAGTTGGACCTCGATATGTCAATCTTACATATATTGGTGAGGGGGCGTACGGGATGGTCGTGTAAGCACACATTACTGTTCTCTGCCGTCAACTCCTGTTGTCTAAGATGTTCTTACTTCTTTTACATTGTTCCCGTGGTGATGAAAAAGTACCACTAAGCCTCTCGTGGTTTGGGACCCACTACTCTTTTGCACGTAAATTGAAGAATGAGCTTTTTTCTTGTGATTTTTACTGCACTTGAGTGTAAAGAGCTTCGTAATCTACTGAATAATTATCAAACTGAGCATTATTACTTAGATAATTCTACAGAACGATGAATATGCTGTGACGCTGTTTATTATTTGGAATAGAAAACCGTAATGTTATAATGTATAATGTTTCATTTCAGTTCTGCGCTCGATACTGAAACTCGTGAACGCGTGGCAATAAAAAAGATTTCTCCATTTGAGCATCAGACTTTCTGTCAAAGGACTTTGAGGGAAATTAAAATTCTTACTCGGTTTAAACATGAGAATGTAAGTTTTTCAGGAGGCGATTAATTCTGAAGAATAATGGCAGTGGTTGAAAGTCATTTTACAAAATTTCTTTAGCGCACTTTTGTTTTATCTAATAAAACATTTCTGAACGCATATTTTCCGGATTTGTTGTGATGAAGCTTTTAATTAAAACTGGGATTTGATTTTTTTTAAGATTATCAATATACAGGAAATAATTCGCGCTCCTAGTGTAGAACAGATGAAGGATATGTAAGTTTTTGTTCTTCCTTGATTTGTTATATCTATTTTTTTAAAAAGATGCTTGTTTAAGATGAGAAAAAAATTGGTTTTTTATTCTTTGATTTTTCTCGTTACAGACTTTTTAAAATACAACTTTTCTTGCTTTTTTAGCTATATAGTGCAATGTTTGATGGAGACAGATTTATGCAAGCTACTGAAAACACAGAAGCTGTCCAATGACCATATATGTTACTTCTTGTATCAAATTCTTCGCGGATTAAAATATATACACTCAGCCAATGTTATTCATCGTGATCTCAAGCCGTCGAACTTGTTACTCAACACCACTTGCGACCTCAAGGTACAACGGGTTACCGTTGTTTAATTTTGGTTTTATTATTCTTATTAGGAGTGAACCTAACTGTGTAAATAGCGTTTTGTGTAACTTTATTTTCTAATCCTAGATTTGTGACTTTGGTTTGGCCAGAGTTACAGACCCGCAGCACGATCATACTGGATTCTTAACGGAATACGTTGCCACGAGGTCGGAATGCTTTTGTGATTTTTCAGTCTTGATTAAGCTTTTTTTGTTTATTTAGGAATAAGATTCTATTTTCCAGATGGTACCGTGCTCCAGAAATTATGTTAAATTCGAAAGGTTATACAAAGTCGATCGATGTATGGTCGGTTGGATGTATATTAGCAGAAATGCTAAATAACAGGCCTCTGTTTCCCGGGAAACATTACCTTGATCAGTTGAACCTCATTCTTGCCGTTATTGGTTCCCCTAGTCAAGAAGATCTTCAGTGTATCTTTAACGAAAAAGTATTCCGGTTTTTTTTATTTTTTAGGTTTATTAGTTGGTGTGCTGTACGTTAATGCCAGTAAGATATTTAATCTGCAAATGAGTTCCAGGCAAGGTCTTACTTACTTTCACTGCCTATCAAGATTAGTCAGCTAGTCAGTACGGTGTCTTGGCCGGTTCTTCTGCCGCTG